CCACAAAATATTATGAATCAAACACCAACTATAGAATCTCCAAAAACAAAAATAGGACGCTTTTTCATTCTAGAATTTGTAACCCACCCAAAACGTTACAATTTTTAATGAAAATCAAACAGCCGCTTAGATATTTATAGTCAAGTATATATATGATAGAGGATTTGAAAATTAATGATGCTAGTTGTTACAAGGTACCAGTGACTATGCCAGCATAATGAGAGGGTATTCATATGCGCGGTTAGCTCTAACGAAAATGTCAAGGCAAATAGTCCACAATTGCACATGATATGTTTGTAGATAACTTGGTCTTTATAGAAATTGGCAAACGATGCTGGGCATACCAATCTTGTATGTTTATCCGCTGTCATGCTGAAAAGATCATGCTAGTAGCAATGTATCATACAGGAGACTTGGAAGCCTACATGCTCTTTAGAGCGTGCTGAGGGATGAAGTATGTTTTCTGTACAACTAGATAAACCCAATAGAGCTCTGCTATAGGGATCCAAAATATAGGATCATTGGAGATTGCATAATGAGCTGACATGACCCGCTCATTATGCAATAGGGAGTGGACACCTCACGTGTCCCCTCACTTGGTCCCGTATTTTAGATCCTTAAGACATTTTTCAACCCAATAAAGAACTGAGCCCACACCAAATCTAGTGTTTGAATGATCCCAAGAAAGAAAAAAACCGCTTAATTCGCACTCGCAGCTCTCTCGGAACAAGATCTCATCTGCTCCCACGCCTCTGTTTACTTGTCAACTAAACACCTTGTTTTGGTGTCTTGCGCTTGTTTACTCCCAAGAAACTTGTTATTGAATGGGGACAAGAGTTTAGAAGGGGAATAATTCTTGTGGGTTTTTTTGGTTTTGATGATGTCTTTGAATTAAAGAGAGCATGTTGCTTCTCCTCACTCTCTTCCTCCCCCCCACTATTTTTTTTTTAATATTATTTTGTCCTCAACCTGTTTGGATCCTAATGGCATGCCTCTTTCTAGTATCTCTTGATTCCCTTGTTGTTTTCTCCGACTCTTTTTTTTTTCTTTTTTTCTTTCTTTTAGCCTCGACCCCTCTCTCCCCTCCTCACGATTCTACACTTCCCTTTGTTGTTATATTATTGTTACGGTCCTAAACTTTTAGAACGATATCTTCTTTGATTAAAGCCTGTGGTAGGATTGGACCGAAGTCCCTGGATGAAGGACCAAGGTTTTGAGAATAGAAGGGTCATCTGATTAGGACGCGGCTATTGTGGTGACCACTGTTTACTGTTGTACTCAAAACTACTTTAAATTAAGGTCCACGTACGGGACTGAATTTGAGTTTGGAGTAGCATCTCCTAAGGTATAAAATTTATATATTTCAAATAGAAATCCATCGCGGAAACAGAACGTCAAGTTATTTTTGGAGTTTCTTTACGGATTAATTGCACATAGACCCCTTTACATCGCGTTTTGGACTTAATACCCACGTGGTGAAATCGTTGCAGGTAGACTCCTTGGATTATTATTTTTTTCCCCTGTCTCTTATGAGCTTTGCTACAGGGACCCAAGATATGTGATCAATAAGAAGGACAAGCGAGGTATCCCCCTCCTATTGGATAATGAGTTTGCCATCATTAATGATGGTCAACTCGTTATCCGATAGGAGGGGGACACCTCACTTGTCCCCCCCTATTGGTCCTATATTTTTGGATCCTTGAGGAATTTTTCGAGTCGAAAACATAAACCTAGGGGTCTAGCCGCAATGAGGAACTGCATGGGTAGTAATTGCAAAACAACGATACCAAAGGGGGTCTATGTGGAATTAAGCCTTTCTTAATTACGCATCAAGCGTCATGACTCATGAGAGGGACTGTTGTATCTAGTTATTTAAATTTACATTATAGAGTACCTTGCGATGTAGAAAAGGTTTCATGCATATTATTCATTTTGTAAGTGATTTGGCGAACGATGAATACTTAGACATCAATAAATAAAATTGACAGGTTCGATCCGCGCCTACGAGGATTTCCAATTAAAAAAAGTGAATACGTAGACATCATGGACCATATTTGTAAGGCTAGTTCCCCATCCCCCCATTTTAAAGTTTTTTGACTCTTAAGATGGTTCTTCAAGTAGCACGATCAAAACTCAAATCCTACAGTGACAATTAGATTCTCAGTGAACTTAAGGCGGAGCATCAAAATTGAAAATATGCAGGGTTCTCTTCATTTTTTTGTTCGTACATTGATGCTTATACAGGGGATTATTTTCTATAAGATACATTTGAGTGAGTTTAGAAGCCTTTTCGGCCAGTCACCTGATGAGTTCAAGTTAAATTCTCAATGACTATATCCAGCACTCTTTCGGTTGCTGACCTTTGTACATACAGTAATTCAGCTATTTTCACAGAAAACACAAATATTATAGAGGGTCCTGTATAGATAATCATACAGTGAAAAAAAAGGAGCGCCCACGAGTGGCATGCTATGAAATTAAATCAACAAAATTAATATACAATATCGGTACAATCAGGCAGTAGAAACTAGGACTGAGCATGGTTCGGTCCAAACCGAAAAAACCGACCGAACCGATCCAACTCGACCCGAAAAAATCGGTTTTATGAGTAGGACGGTTTGAGTCGGTTTGAAAACTTTTTAACCCGAACCGACCCAAACCGACAGAATATAGTGCAATACTACACATTCTGGTCTTAAACCCTACCCGACCCGTCCCCAAAGAGTCAAAGACTCAAACCCTAAACTCATTTTCTGAATCATTATGGGTTGAAAACAATATCATTATATCAGTGTTTAATGCTTCATAATCTCCTACTTTGTTGATATCTTTTTTTATCTTTAACACAATTTGTTGTTTGATAAGAAGTTTGATGAAGTTAGAACCGAACAAACCGAACCGCACCGAACCGACTTGCAACAGTTCGGTTCGGTTTTGAATTGTAGACGGTTTGGTTCGGTTGTTTAAATTTTGGTAAAAACCGAACCGAACCGACCCGACCGTTACACACCCCTAGTAGAAACAAAATAGGTAAAATATCAGTATACTCAGAATATTATGTCAATACATCGTCAACTTTAAACAATGTGACCAAAATGTCGGGTTCCCCCTCTCTGTGCTGTTTCTATTGGAGAGCACCCTCCCCCTCCAGAACCCCTATATGCTTTTCTACAGAGAGCCCCCTCCCTATTTTTTTTGTCAATTAGGTCTCCGGATCCTATCAGAAACCTCAGCCCTAAAAATGATAAAACAGGAGGAGGGGGGCAGTTTAGGTATTTCCCAACCCTCCTTTTATGGCTGAGAATCTTTTTCCAAAGATAGGACACAAAATAATCATTTTCTGGTTGACTCAAAGCAAATCTGTCCATCATCATCCCTATCAATGACCGCATCATCTCAAGTGCAAGTAACAGAGCTGTACAAACCGCCAATGACGCTAAATTATTTGTACTTCATGACGCACACAAACAACGGTAGGAAGTTAACAAAAAAGCTTCGGCAGATGAATACTCAGCTTAAATCTTTAGACAATTTGGTGATCATGGTATATATAACCAACTGATATCAAATGAGCTCGTAGCTCCATTTATCAGTAATCCAAGCTCGATTCCGGCATCCTATATGATAACTATCCAAAAAGGCAATCGTTTGACTGAACCAAGATGATAACTATTCAAAAAGTTCACAAAAACCGTAAGGGGTAAAATAGCATGTTACCCACCCAGACGCTAACACTCGTTTGTTGGCATTTAGCACAATTGAAATGCAATTTTCAGCAAGATAAATAGCAAGCAACATCCCTCCTCCTCACGAGTTGGAGGAGGCTAAGCTCCAATAAATGGGTTGAGGGAGGTTTAACAATTTTTAGTACGATAAATGCAAGTAACAACCATCTTTCTCACGAATCACGAATTGAGGTGGGCTAAGTGCTAATAAATGAGTTGAGGGGGGGGGGACTTTGTGCAACTGAAAGTATAGATGAGGGGGGTCGTGTGCAATTTATCCAAACCAAAAATATAATTAGGGTAAATTTTAACAACTTATAAATTAATCACAATCAAATTTCCAAAGTTGCAAACTATGATAACTAACAAGACATAATTCCTCTAAAACAGAGCAATAAGAAATGCCAAGTACGAACTAGCAGCTATATGACTGGATAATTGAACTTTCATGTTTCAAAATGTCACGTGTCTTCAAAAGACATATGACTAGATAATTGAAGTGTGAAATTTTGAACATTCATGTTTCAGTATGTCACATGTCCTTAAAAGATATAGACACATTAATAGACAAAGGAAAAAAGAAAGAATTACAAAAGTTAAATTTCGACGGAGCCCTCTGTAGGAAAAAAAAAAATCCATCATTTCTGTGTTCTGGTACAAATATATTTTGCATATTCACTCAAAGAACTCAGCTTCAGGTCAGGATCATCGAACACGGAGAATGAACTTGAAGAGAAGTTTTTGTTCCCATACTGAAGTTTCCTTAGTTGGACGCAATTCCTAATTACCCTCGTCACCAAACAGTTGTAGTAGTATGATAGTGGGCACCAGTACTAACCTTGAGGCTTGATACCAGGTTCTTTGATATTAATTTCTTGTTCTAAACTTAACTGAACATTACTGAGGCGTCAAAACAGTAACACTTGAGATCAGCTCAAACATATCAAACAAAGCGAGTCAATGCAAAGATCAAATCCTAGTCCACCTACAGATAATGAAGGCAAAAGAAGAACATGCTGTTTTTACTACATCTTATGAATCTTGATCGTCAAAATAGAAAATGATTTTCAAAATATTCATGTAGACATATTAGCATATGAGTTACGCAGTCTTAAGCTCAAAATTATATCAGAAAAAAAAAGGATACGAAGATAAGTGCACATATGTGCCCTTGTTTGCATGGCAGCGTGTTATGTACTAACTAACTTATATAAAGTAAATTAATATATAGAATCGAATCCTCATCCTGTTTATAGCTTAGAAAAGGTCCGAAGAACAACTTCTTTTATTAATATAATTAGCAAATTACAGTCATTTTAAGTTACCATGCATACAATGTACCCATCGAGTAAAATTTTCAAATCTTGTTAGAGAAAGAATATAAATGAATGTAAAAAAGTTAGAGATTAAGAACATAAAAAATAGGGGTTTACACATTTATCCCTCAATTTTTGGTATACTGAAAATTATCTCCACTTGCTATATGCCAACTTGCCTTTCAAATTACACAAGACCCATTCTTGTACCTCTCCCCTTAACATCCCCTTATATTAGATCTCTAGCAGAATGAGAATAGAAATTCCATTCAGCCGCTTCTTCTTTCTCTATCCTTTTTCTTCTTCACAGAAACCCTTAACAGATTTTCCCTTCTCCTGCCTCCTCCAAGAAAACATGTCAGTTCCCCCTCCACTCATATAAGATTTCTGGCAGAATGAGGATAGAATTTCTATTATACCCCCTTCTTTATCCTCCGTTCTTTCTTCCTCCTCCAAAGAAACCCATGAAAGATTCTTCTGCCTCCTCCAGAAATAAGAAAAAACCAAAAATTCATCCCACTTGCTTGATATATATCATACACTCTGAAGCCTTGACGGACTTTAAAAAAACCAAGTTCTCCCTCTACTTGCTTGATTCTGCAGCCTTGATGGATTTCGAGAAAATTGCATTTAGCAACATGCAGTTTCTAAAACATTCTCAAGATTGTATTCTGAACAAAATAGGGAGCCATGTGTCATTTAAACAGAAAACATAGAAGGATTCTACATAAGGATACTACGTTAACAAAACCCACATACTTCAAAAAATGAGGGAGATTTCAAACTTTTATTAGATGAGGTTTTCGATTCAACTTTCAGATTCTTTTTCTGGTTTAGTAACTTGATGACCAGTTGTGTGTTTAAATCATTAACATTTCATTCTTTCCGATTCCCCTAATATGCACTTCAGCACTATCGGGTTTGATATATAGTAAGACAAATATACTGTGAGTTTTTCCTGTATGTATGTACCTATGTATGTATGTATGTGTCTACGCGTGGTGTGATATCCCATAAATTGGTGTGGAATACCTAGCCAACCCAATACTACAAGGGCAATTAGGAGCAGGAAGCTAGGGAATAACCTACAAAAATTTCAAGTAAGTTACTGAGAAGGTATAGTAAGAAATAGAGCTAATCAGTAAATCATGTATTAGTGACTGAACAAAGCAAATTGAACATGACTCTCCAACTGAACACTGCAAACACATGGTTATACATGCATCGAGACAATTTTTTCTATAGAAACTTGGGAACTTTGTGGGTGCATTACATGAATGATTAAATACATTGCTTTAGGCATATGTAAACGCTCTTTTAGTAGTAAAGTACAATATCAAACTTATTTGGGGTTTATTGTCACCTTTCAGGTAAATTTATCTTCAGAATATACCTTGAAGAGAAGCTAGTGATTGTAGTTTAATTTAACCCTCCGCTTCTCCTATTCCCAATTTGACCTGACCAACTCACTAACCACATCCGGCAGCCATCATCGTATTAGCAATCAAGATAATAAACTCCCTACACATCCTCTCATTTATGGAAAAAAAACTGCACGCAAAAACTAGCAAGGAAGAGCAACTAATCACAATACTTTCCAAATTGAATCGTGATAAACAAACTTGTATTTGTTAAAGGCTCTTCCATTTGACCAAAACAAACCACTACCACCGCCAAGGTTGAGCCCTTTCCATGGGCTCAAAGCTGGGCACACACAACAGTATCTTTCCTTTAAATCTGTTTTAAATGAGCTGTTGGTGGGGTTTGAATTTGCTTACAAGTATTCTATATCGAGATTAAGAGTTATAATTTTATACTCCAATATACCCTCACAAGTTGATCATTCATGTGCCCAAAACTTTGACCCTTGTATTGTTTATGTTTATGTTCTTTTTTTTTTTTTTGCTTATAAGTGTCGTTTATGTAGTTTTTTTAGTCAATAAAATATTAAAATGGAACTTTATATAAATTGCAATTTCTAAATTATGTTTTTATTTCTTTATGCAAAAAAGAGAAGTTAATATACAAATTTTGCTCCCATCTAATTCATGTGGGTTTTGTAGAAATATGCAAAGAATATCTATATCTGAATCCATATCCATTTGTCCAACATATAAGTAGTATCTGTTTCCGATTATTGCTAATATGGATATGAGTTTTTCTTACTGAAGCAAAACTACATTGGTATCCATATCCGTAATTAGCAAACAGATAAGAGTAGGTTATATGTCATATCCAATCTGCTTGCACCCCCATTAAAAGGCCTCTCCAGTTCACCAAAATCTCCAAGTTTTGGTGAAAGTTGAGAGATATAAACAGTGTCCATATAATAACTCGAGAATGTAAACTGAAATTAGAGTGATCTGTTCAGATAACTAGACCTAGGGAGCAAAGCACACGAGGACACTGATAGTCAAATTCATGTTGGTCTATAAGAAAGAAACATTTTACATAAAGGCATGAAATCTTCGTAACTAAAGCCACACCCAAAAAAAGGAAAGAAAAAAGAAAAAGAAAAAAGAAAAAAAATATGTAGCAGGGCTGATAATACCTTAAAAAAATGAACACATCTCAATGGGTTGGAACCATAGTGTAACTGTTTATATACAGACCAAAAGTTGGTATTCTCAAGAAGCAACTGTTGCACCACTCAGTGCTCAGCTATATCTCTTGATTACAATCCATAAAACTATTGAAATAAAAATTCTATTTACCTAACCTTAGAAATGGGAGGATGATTTTTCAAATTGCTAACAATCTCTTGCTGAACTAATTTCAGACTGGTATGCAGGATAAATTAACCAAGCAGGTACCTGACTTTGCAAATTACAATCAGATTCCAGTAAACAAAAACATTAAAAAATAATCTGTGCAAAAGAAGCAAAATGCATTTAGTAAGCATCTGGTGTAATCTAAGATAGTTTTCCATTGGCAATAAATGTAAACTAGATAAAGATTATATCATTTACTGATATTTTGGTTAGGAAGTGAATATGGAGGAGATGTAACAGACGTTAGCTGTACTATTCTATATAGAGATCTTTTTAGCATACAATTACTCAAGTTCTACGAAACTAAAGAAAGAAACTTTTGTCATACTTATAGCTGGATTACTTAAACGCGTTACATAGTGCAGAATAGCGCATAGCGTAACGTAGCGCTACCCTATCGCTACGTAGTGCTAGAAAATAGCATAGAAACAAAATAACGTACACTATTTTATCCATAGTGTACGCTTTGTAACCCGTCTTCATAACGCTCCATAGCGTAGGTTAAATTATTCATGGGCTGAGATTGATTTTCAAAAAAAATTTGATGGCTGTGATTGAGTTTTTTTTCAAATTAATCAGATTTTACACTGAAAAACATTAAAAAGAGATCAAAGAATTACTAATTACCTTTTTTCTAATTAATCAGATTTAGAAGCACTGAAAAACATTAAAAAGAGATCAAAGAATTACTAATTACCTTTTTTCTAATTAATCAGATTTAGAAGTAATAAAAACTGGTACTTTTCTTTCAAAGAATTACTAATTACCTTTTTTCTAATTAATCAGATTTAGAAGTAATAAAAACTGGTACTTTTCTTTCAAAGGGCTGTTTGGTTCGCTATTTAACCCGTGGAAAACTTTTACATCGCCCTCCACGTCAGTTTTTTGGTGGCCACGTTGGTTTTTTCATTTCCTTCGATTTTCTTTCCCAGCTTTGTTTCGCTAGGGCTGAAGAGGGAAAACGAGATTAAAATCGCTGCTACCTAGGTTTTTTTCCTCTCCCCCAATTCCTTCCCTAACCGGGTGAAATCGGCGGAAACCCTGGCCACGTCGAATTTTGGTCTTCCTCGTTGATTTCTTCGGTGAGCTATTGTTAACTCCTTGCTCTCCTCCCGCCATAAACTCGCGCGACCTTCTTTGTGGCTGTATTCAAAAAAATTGGGGGAGGGGCGTCCGATCTTTGCCCATGCTATTTAGATATGATTATTGCCGACGTTGTTGCTTCCAAAATCAAGGTAAAAATTAATTTTTTTTAATTTTTGGATTATTAGTTTAATTTAGATCAATTTTCTGAGAAATTGGGGGAGGGGTATCTGATCTTTGCCGAGGCTATTCAGATCTGAGCTTTGTATTTGATTAATTTTTTGAGATTTTAGAGTAACAAAAAAGTTTTAGCAGATCTAAACTTTTAATTTGATTAATAGTATGAAGACATTTTGTAGTTTTAGTAGATTTTGAGAAAAAATAGGCTTTGTTGATTGCCAATTTTGTGTAAAATGTTTGTAGTTCTTTTTCTTTTTTTTTGTGAAATTCACTTTTTGTGACTGAGAAATTTGCTAAATTTACTGCTTGTTGGTTGAAGCATTACTTTGAAAGAAGTAATGCTTGTTGTTATTGTTTTTTTAATTATGAGTAATGATTCGCTTTGATTATTTATGACTGAATTTCCTCAAGTAATGGCCTAAAATAGTGAACCAATAATGGTTACCAAACAGCCCCTAAACTTAGAATTAGTTTTGTCCCAATAATGGTTACTAGTTTAATGTTTGTTTACTCCATAAATTGGCCCTGCAATCAGTAAACTTTGACAGAAGATGTAGTGTGTAGTTAAAACCTTATTGAAATAGGGGAAGCACACAAGTTTATACTTATGCTCGTGAATGTACATAATTCTACCGGTTTCTCTTCACTAGCTTAAAAACTATTTTTCTTACCTTACCTTTCTCATTATGATCATTGGTGTTAGAGCTAAATGGCGACCAAGAATTTGGACTAAATTATAATGTTTCTTTAAACATAACTATTGTACATGCGGATAGTTCTTACTTCTTAGAATGTTACATCAATAAAGAACATGAAACTAAAAGTATAAGTAGGTGCATGTTTTCCATATGCAAAAGAAGAAGCTTAGTTAAAATGGTTTCATGGGAAGCATTCTAGAAGTTTGGTTTTAGGGGTGAATGTGTAGCTAATGCAACTTAACTTCAAAGATTACAATGTCTAACTACGATTATGTTTTTTTTTGTGGTTGTCGAACATTATGACGATAGAACATATTATTATTATATGGTAGTAAGTAGTTATTTGCTTTCATTTTGTAATATTTTATTTTATAGTGTGAATATTGTGGTGTACTAACCTTTAAATTAATCTTGTACCTGCAGGATATTTATAAGTCACCATACAATTTCCTAAGATGCAAGCAACCTACAATGTGCACACATTGTACTGGATGGTTATTGCTCTGGGTATTTTGTGTAGTAAGTTTTCATGAAACGAACTTACATTGTTGATTTTTTTTTTAAGCTATGATGATTGTCAAAATTTCTGAGATTAGCAACCAAATATAATATCTTTTTGAAATTACACTGGATGGCTAACAATGATGATATTGACCAAGTTCTGAGCCTATTGCTCTGACTATTTTTGAGTAGTAGGTTTTCATGAAACGAGTCTACATTGGTGACTATTTACTTTAGGCTATGATGATTGTCAAAATTTTTGAGATTAGCAACCTGCAATATCAATCGATATTACACTGGATGACTAATAATGATGATATTGACCAGATTCTGAGCCCATTTCACTAATTTTCTTAGTGAGATTTTGTATACAAACTCATGTTGTACTTAAGTTGTGGAGCCTGATTGTGTTTGTAGAGCCTGGTTTTGTGTTGTGTAGCCTTGTTGTGTTTGTGGAGCCTGGTTGTGTGGTGTTTTTGTTATCGGCCAATTTTTGTGCATATATTGTTGATGTTTGGGGTTTCCTGTTTATTGTTGGTGGCTAGTGGGTGTTTCCTAGTTCATTTTTTGTTGGCTAGTGGGTGTATCCTTTACATTGTTGGGTTTTTGGTTGCTTTTGTGCTTGTTTGGGGGATTTCTAGTTGTGAACCTGGTTGTGAGTATGCTACCCCTCACAGCCCCTGTGCTATTTTTGTTACATCTGATGTTATTTCACTAGCTTATAATAACACATTGGTGACTTATTGGTTGGCTGGTTGTGAGCCTGGTTGTGGAGCCTGGTTGTGAGCCTGTTCAGATTTTGTGGATCCTGGTTGTGAGCCTGGTTGTGAGTATCAATGTTACATTAAACGCTGGGCGCTCCTGGGCGCCGGACTTGGCGTCCAACGCTTAGACGCCTAGGCGGGCGCCTAAGCGGTTTCTGGGCGGGTTTTTTTTTCTGGGCGGTTTTTCTTTTTTTAATTGTGATACTTGAAGATAAATATATATACTCAATCAACAGTTAAACTTAAAATTAAACTTAAACAATTAAACTTAAATAATAAATATAGTTAAACATATTCAATTTGTAATTCTTAAAACAGAATCTCAAAATAAGAAATATATAAACTCTCACATGTGTAATTTTCCTTACTGTTAACTTATTTTTGTAGGTCAAAAACTGCATTTTCATTCGTTATTGTTGCAACTTCAAAACCCGCAACTAATTATTGTTCTATTTTGTAGGTCAAAAACTACAACTTCATTCGTTATTTGCTGCAAATCCAAAAGTATGGAGCATGACATGAATATTATAGTTTCAGCACTCAACTCAATACAGATACACAATTATTGCATGTACAGTTGTAAGTTTTGAACAAATGGCAAATGCAGAGAATGAACATGACAAAGACAAATGTAGGGAGGGAGCATAAGTCTGTTGTGGACTACGGTGATGCATATTCTGTTGTACACTCGGATACTTTTTCATATGAAATAGGAAAATTAAACTTAAACAATTAAACTAATAAACTTACAGTCTTAAACAATTAAACTAAATATGATATAAATATATTAAGTTAACATAAGTCTAGGAGCAGTTAATTTTCTTGAGCTTGAGATAATAAGTTAACATATACATAGCATTGTCTGCAGAAGAAAGAACAGCAGCGAACTTTAATATAAGATTTGACATATACATAGCAATAGCATCGTTGACAATTTACCCAGAACATATAAAGTATAAACGACAAAAACCTCCTTCAAAAACCTCATTTCATTAGTAATAGAAGAGAAACAAATAAATAGTCTTCTAATGACAGATGAAAAAAAATCCAGATAAATCAGTAAGCTCCAAAAACTGATTTTTATAATAGTAATGGATATCCGAACCCAAATAATGAATATAATCCAAGAAAAAAAGAGTTAAAAACCAAGGAAAATAAGTTGGAGGGTTTTGAAAGCTTAAGAGCATACCCGAACCCAAAAAACAGGTTGAAAACGTCGCTGTTGTTCTTCCTTCTGCGGAAATGAGAACGACGAACTCGAAGTAGAGGACGAGCTCGAAGATGAGAACGACGACCTCGGAGATGAGCTCGGAAGACGTCGGAGATGAGAACGAGAAGCTCGAAGATGAGCTCGGAAGACGTCGGAGATGAGAACGACGAGTTCGGTCGTTGAAGACGAGCTCGAAGACGATCTCCCAGCACCAGAACGACGAGTTCGGTCGTTGAAGACGAGCTCGAAGACGATCTCCCAGCACCAGGTAGTTGAAGACGAGCTCGAAGACGATCAACCAGGACGAGATCGAAGATTTTTTGAGCTGGCGGCATCGGGTGAAACAGATTTAGGGTTTTGAGTTTGGGTTTTGGGTTTGGACTTTGGGTTTTGGGTTTTGGGTTTTGGGGTTTTCGTTTTTTTTTTTGTTTGGGTTTTGGGAGCGCCCAGCTCTTGTTTTGGGCCTTGAAAATGTGGGGCGGGCCGCTTAAGCGGCCCGCTTAGCCCTGGGCGGCCGCCTAGGCGCTCCCAGCGCCCAAAGGTGGCCGCCCAAGGCTAAACTACACGGTGAGGGCACCGCCTCCGCCTAGGCGGCCGCCCAGGGCGTTTTTTACAACACTGGTGAGTATGCTACCCCTGTCTTCATGTGTTATTTATGTTACATCTGATGTTATTTCACATTGTTATAATAACACATTGGTGACTTGTTGGTTAGCTGGTTATGAGCCTGGTTGTGTTCAGGTTGTGACTTGTGGTTGGCTTGTGGAGCATGTTTGTGTTCAGGTTTTGTTCTGTTATGTTGATGCTAATTTGTTCAAGTTCTATTTGTGCATTTTTTTTTGTGGAGCTTGGTTTTGTGTTGTGGAATTATTTTCAAGCATGGTTTTTTGCACATATAGTTCATCAACATGCATAAATTATCAGATTTGATGCGATTTGCTATGTTATATACATATTTATGGCTATTCAGGTTGTTTATATGGTTTTATAAGTTTCAGCAGATTTTTTGGGTAATTCGGGTATGTACTACATAAATTTATGAATAATCAGGTTATTACAAGATTCGTGTGATTTTTTTCAATCTCAAACAAGAACATTTGAACTTTTATATGATTAAGATTACCTTATCTCATATTACGAGCACAAAAAAATTTGTATATATTGGGGGTAATCTTACCATGGTGACCATAAACATTTTTTCCTACAAACTTCAAAACCAACCAAACACAAGAAAAGTGGAAAATGTCATATCAACAATTTTTTTTCTTTTTTTCCATGCGACCAAACACAAGAAAAGTAAATACATTGGTTTCGCACCATTTTTTATGTGTGAACCAAAGCGAAACAATCTATTTCTTGAAAAAGTTTGAAAAACTAAAAACTTGTGTTTCTTTACATGGAATTGCATTTCCCTATATCTAGGAAACGAACCGAACAACCCCCAAAAATAAAAGTTGTAACTTCACTTGAATTACTATTAGATGTTTTTAGATTTATGATGTGCTATTACCTACTAGAACTTACTGTGATTATGTGTGATGTATAATTTTTTAACGACTATGCTTCTGGAATGATTGTTAAGGCATACATGGTTGATTTTGTTGTGAAAATATTATGATATATTGATCTGTGATAGTATTTTTATGATGATATGTTCGAAAATTGTGATGATTATTCATATTATTTGATTTTGAATATTATGTATCTATAAAATATTTAAATAATAATAAATAATTTAACCTACGTTAAGAGTTACGCTATTTTGCGTTTTACGTTAACCGGAGGTGAGCGTTATGCTATGCGTTATCGCTATTTTTAACATTGCTTACAATCAGATACTTCTTATTTTAGACGATCTGTGCAAAGAGTTCTTTCCGAGCTAGTCTTTCGCATTACATTTTTTAAAAGCATGTGATCAGCACAGTCACATTGTTCTCAATTTCCTTTTTCTGATTTTTGGGTGCATGTATCAGTTTGTAAGAAGTCATAAAGCAGAAAGTTACCTATAATTTTGCAAATGCTTAACTAGATGGTTAAAAAGCACGTAAACTAAATGAAACAAACAATTTCTTGCTTCCTGACATGTGACAATTCAATTAACCTGTTCATTTTCCGCATAGAGTGGTGTTTCTAAATGTGACCAGTGGATATCTTGTAGAGAGAATCTATCCTCTATTTCCAGTCGATCTTCCATCGAGAGGGCTCCACCAGCCCCACCCCACCCCCCCCCCGAGCCTCCCTTTTTGGTGGTCCTGCAATGCATTTGAACTACTGATGATAGGCTGTAGAGAACAAGTCAACAGATGAAGTTCTGAAACAAATCAACTAATATCTTCGCAAGGTCATGCCCAAGAAAACCATGTGAAAGAAAGGGTCTTGGCAGGAAACCTCAAAGACAACCGAAGGAAAGGAGGATCACATTCATCAAACATTGTCCGGTTTTGATTTATAAGCAACTCATGAAGAGACTTCCAATAGTCCCGAGTTATTCAATAGAAGGCCAGATCACATCTCTGAACTGAATATTCGCTACAGAAAACAGAAGAAAGAAGAATATGAACAGATTTGACAGGAAGCATTTGTTACATTCGTGTCGACTATTTCAACTACTTTGTGAATACAACAACTTTGCTAGAATGTGTGCAACAAGAAACAGAAAATCAATCTACTGCTTAACAAGAAAGAATTGAATGTGCTCTATAGTTTTGTATTCTAAGAATGGTTAGAACAGAGACTACCTCAAAATATATTCCTGATAAAGTTTAGGAAGCTCTTCCAGCTCCCTCGAGGTCATTTCAGCATCAAAATTGATCCATCAACTGAACAAAGATTAGACAAATTTATCAACATGCTGAAGAAAAAACTAAATATACAATATGTTTCAATGAAGAAATATTACAGGTTACTTACCCTTTTATTATCAGTATCTATATCTACACAGAAGGAACCTGACCAGAACAGAGTGAATTGCTCATTTTCTAGAGGCAATATCACATAGTTAACCCTCAGGCCCTTGATTTATCAACACGGAGACTCATGTCAGTATTATTCTCATTATTGGGAAATTTTCTTGACAAAATAACACATGTCTCGAAGGTGGGAGCATGATCCTTCTCTTCCATTACATGAAGAAACTTTTCACACAAATCATGTTCTCCTTCTTCTATTAAACCATCGATAAGTATGCTCCACACTATCTCGTCAGGACTCCATTTCTTTAAGTGCATGCTTTCAAAAAGGTTTGAAGCTTCTTCTCTTCTATCCGATTTACAAAGTGCACATATCAATGACCTATAACCACTCAAATTACACTCATAGCCTTTGAGAGTCATTTCATTATAAATATCTAATGCAAAATCTACTTGGTATCTTTTGGAAAAAACCAATAGCAATGATGTGTATATCTCTTCATCTGGAGAAAAACCATGGTCAGCCATACTTCTAACCAAATGATGTGCCTCATGCCACTTCCCTTCTCTACACAAACCATTTGCCATGGTGCTATAAAGATCAAAATTAATCTCACATCCGTACTCTCGCAATCTAAGCAATAGTAAAGATATACTGTCAGTATCTATAACATTCTCCACTACGGTGGAAGTAGTGACCGAATCTGGCAGAGCTGCAAACTTCTGCTCTATTAGTTGGTGGTCCTTTAGTAATCCTTCCATCAAAACCTTATAAGTCCGGTAACTTGGCCTACACCCAGCATCAACCATTTGTTGCAAACGTGAAAAAGCAAGGTCTAATTTTCCTGACATAATATATCCATCCATCAATGAAGTGTACATAACCTGATCTGGAACCAAACCTTTTTCTATAACCTTTTCCAGAAGCTTCTCAGCCTCCTCGACCTTTCCTTCTTTGCACAGTCCATGAAGAAGAACACTATAAGTATGCAAATTGGGCAAGCAGTCTCTCTTCACCATTACATCCATCAGTTTAAATGCAGAAGGTGTGGAGTCATGCTTACATAGACCATAAATAAATGTAGTATAAGTGACAACATTAGGTGATAATCCTTGCTCTACCATCTGACTTTGAAATTCCAGTGATTCTGATACCCGGTTTTCTTTTAAAAGCCCATCTATTATAGCATTGTAAGTCTGTATGTTTGGTTCACAACCATTCTTTTCCATTCTATTCAGCCAATCCAAAGCAATGTCTTGTTTACCATCCTTGCAGTACCCATCCACTAGTGCAGTATACGTAACCTCGTTAGGCCTCAACCCAGCGCTTACCATGTTTTCAAATGCCTCTGAAGCTAATTCCAACTTTCTCTCTTTACAAAAGCCACATATAAGTGAAGTGTAGGTCCACTCATCAGGATCACAACCTTTTTCCTTCATAAAATCCCTCATTCGAACCGCATTACTAAGATTTCCGGCTTTACAGTATCCATCTATTACAGTGTTGTATGTAACCTGGTTTGGTGAAGGACCGGTATTAACCATCATTTGGATTAGAAGCATTGCTTTCTCGATTCTACCCGCTCGGCAATATCCCTTTATCATCTCATTGTAAGTTCTCAGATTCGGCAAGCAGCCCCTTTTCTCCATCGAATCAAAAACCCTCACTGCATCTCCAAGTCTGCCTCTTTCACACAACCCATTAATCAAAGCATTGTAAGATACTACATTTGGAATCAAACCATCCTTCTCCATCCTTTGAAACAAACCTACAGCAAAGTTTATTGCACCAAATTTACAAAGCCCGCCCACAAATGCAGTATAACTATGAACATTTGGCTGTAAACCCCTCTTCCTCATATCACTAACCAAATTACACGCCTCAATAATGCGGCCCTCAAAACAAAGAACTGATATTGGGTCAGTGTACGTATATACCGTTGGCTCAACCCCTTTCTCTGCCATATCTCTCATCAAGTCCAAAGCCTCATCCACCCTCCCATCATTACACAACCCATTAATCAGATTTGAATATGTTACTGAATTCGGCTGGCATCCTTCCTTAACCATCATCTCGAACACCCGAAATGCCTTCTCAATATCAAAACTTTTACAATACCCGAGTATCAAAGACGTGTACATAAACCCGTCCGGCCTCATATCACACCTAAAAATCCTACCCACGACCACCATTGCCTCCTTCACCCTCCCATTCTTACACAAGACGTTAACCACCGTATTATATGTGACAAGCGTCGGCTCCACCTCGCTACCCAGAAGAGCTCAACTGCCATACCAACCAAATTATGCCTACCCATTTGGTTCAACAGCGAGTTGTCCCAGCATAGAACAAAAGAGCTCAACTGCCATACCAACCAAATTATGCCTACCCATTTGGTTCAACAGCGAGTTGTACATCGCAAGCGTGAACCTGAAGCCCCTCGAGCTCAGGTCCCTCAAGAACCCGGACACCCGGGTGACCTCCCGATCGCTCCCGCACGCTTTGATGCTCATAACAGCGACCCTGCTCGCCGCAGTGAGAATACCAGCAGATACCAGGCGGTTCAGGAGGGGAAAGAAGGTGTCTGCGGGGTGTTTGACGAAATGCCGCTGAGAGAGGAAGTCAAGGAAGTGAAGGGAGGCGATGGGATCCTGATGGGTATCGAGGAATTGGGAGATCTGGGAAGGGGTGAGGTTGGGGATGAGGGAGGGGAGCTGAGGGTGAGATCTCCAGTTGGGGTAGGAGAGGATTTGGTGGAGTTGGGAGATGATGGGGGTTTCCGATGAGAGACTTGAGTAGGATTTGGTCTTGATGAGGAGGAGGGAGATGGGTTTCTTTGATAACATTTGAGGAGGTGATCGGGGGTTTCATTTCATGGATCCGATGGACGGAGGGGAGTGAGTGAGAGGGAGAGGAAAAGGGGAAGAGGAGAGGAGAGGACGAGTCCACGGCGACGGGGTTGATGGCGCCGGGGGCGGCTAAACGGATATGGGCATGTAGAGGAGACTGAACCCGGCCCGCTTTTGGGGTTAAAGGCCTGTTTTGTTGTTTTCCTGCAATTTCAGGAAATTTATTTTCAGCTAAAAAGTTGCATTTCCATTATTTGCGGGTGCTTCTCACAAAAAATACTCTTTTATTTTCTCCCCCTTAAATCACGGAAAGACTTGTATTTCCATATCAATTAGTGATTTGATTGGAAACTAAAAACAGGAATCAATATTTTTTTCTAATTGCCAAAATATTAGATTTCTACTCATTTACGTGCAAAAAAAAAGACTCCTAAAATGGTTTTCTTATAAAAGCTGACGTTTTTGGATTCTAGGAAACCTGCTTTCTATAATTTTTACACGCTCAAAGTTTCCAAAATGGATGCCTCACAGGAGGTTTTTTGAGCTTTCTAAGAATTTGTAAAACCCCATATATTTGGTTATGAAGATATGTGAATTTTTTTTTTGTGATAAATAATTCTATTGTGGTAAATGACTTAAGGTGATAGATATTCTTGATAGCAAGTTATTAGAGATGTACGAATGTTTTAATCTAGAGTTTTGTGCATTGATTTTGGCAAATTAGCAAAACATGCACGAATCTGGAAAATGTCGGCTTAGTCGACTCATGAGTCGACTTATGAGTCGACCAATGAGTCGACTTACGGGCAGATTTCCAGATTCGTTTTAGTTACGGGTTTGGGTGAGTTTCTTTCGGGTTTTAACCGTATTATATATATTTTCTTTTACCCGAAACCAACCCCAAACCCATCAGATCCCAGAGAAACCCTAGCCCTCTCTCTCCCCTCAAACCCTAGTTCGTTCTTGGTGATTTTGGAGGAGTTTCGGAGGAGTTTTCAGCGGGATTTTTGGGGTGCTGTCAAAGGGGGATCGTCCTCTCACGGATTCAAGAGTTTACAGCACATCAGAGGCGAGTGACATCTCGCCCAGCCCTACACCCATTGTTTGTATAGTTTTATTTGGTTTTATTTCGGTTTTATTGAGCCTAAATCACTATTTGTGTATAAAAGTAGATCTTTATAGCATATGATGCGAAAATCGAATGTTTTCGGTTTATAAAAGCTCACAAACGAATTTGTAAATTAAGATCCAGATCTGGAATTTGTTTAAACATGAGTTTTATTGTGATTTACTGATTTCAACACGTTTTAAACGTGTATATAAATGTTTAGGGTTTTAGTGTATGTTTATTTTTATATATGCTAATCTCTCGTTTCAGTGTGGCACATATATGCTAGAATCGGATTTATATTGCTGGAAATGATGAAGAGAAATTTTAGGTTTAAACTTTTGCAAATAAACAACATGTGATGAAAACTAGAGGTCTGTCTGATCAGTCGACTTATGAGTTGACTGATGAGTCGACCAATGAGTCGACTGACGGGAATTTCCAGCTTTTTTCTGTTTTGTTCTGTCTGGTCGACCAATGAGTCGACCGATGATCCCAGTCGACTCATAAGTCAACTAAGGAGGAATTTTCCAATTTCCTCGGTTTTGGATCTGTTTGGGTTGTTTCAGTTTAACTGAAACTGTTTATGTTTGTTTATTGTTGTTGCGTGCTTTAATATGAATGAGAAGCCGCCTCGAATGATGAGTATTAGAAATTTATGTATAACCTGGATCTTTACATGTGAGATGACATGCGGACATGAGTTTAGATTTGCACACCGAGACACGTGAGAAATTAGGGTATATGCACCTGTTCATATAATTCATCTTGTTCATGTGTTGGGCAATTATGATGTGTAGTCCATGTATTGGACATTTATCATATTCAGTCCATGCGTTGGACATTGGTTATTTTTAGTCCATACGTTGGACACTCGTTACTTTCAGACCATGTGTCGAATGTTTTCAGTTTATAAAAGCTCACAAACGAATTTGTAAATTAAGATCCAGATCTGGAATTTGTTTAAACATGAGTTTTATTGTGATTTACTGATTTCAACACGTTTTAAACATGTATATAAATGTTTAGGGTTTTAGTGTATGTTTATTTTTATATATGCTAATCTCTCGTTTCAGTGTGGCACATATATGCTAGAATCGGATTTATATTGCTGGAAATGATGAAGAGAAATTTTAGGTTTAAACTTTTGCAAATAAACAACATGTGATGAAAACTAGAGGTCTGTCTGATCAGTCGACCTACCAGTCGACTTATCAGTCGACTTATGAGTCGACCAATGAGTCGACTGACGGGAATTTCCAGCTTTTCTTTTTTTTATGTTTTGTTCTGTCTGGTTGACCAATGAGTCGACCGATGATCCCAGTCGACTCATAAGTCGACTAAGGAGGAATTTTCCAGTTTCCTCGGTTTTGGATCTGTTTGGGTTGTTTCAGTTTAACTGAAACTGTTTATGTTTGTTTATTGTTGTTGCGTGCTTTAATATGAATGAGAAGCCATCTCGAATGACGAGTATTAGAAATTTATGTATAACCTGGATCTTTACATGTGAGATGACATGCGGACATGAGTTTAGATTTGCACACCGAGACACGTGAGAAATTAGGGTATATGCACCTGTTCATATAATTCATCTTGTCCATGTGTTGGGCAATTATGATGTGTAGTCCATGTGTTGGACATTTATCATATTCAGTCTATGCGTTAGACATTGGTTATTTTCAGTCCATGCGTTGGACACTCGTTACTTTCAGCCCATGTGGGCAATTATGATGTGTAGTCCATGTGTTGGACATTTATCATATTCAGTCCATGTGTTGGACATTGGTTATTTTCAGTCCATGCGTTGGACACTCGTTACTTTCAGCCCATGTGTTGGACGTGAGAAATTAGGGTATATGCACTTGTTCATATAATTCATCTTGTCCATGTGTTGGGCAATTATGATGTGTAGTCCATGTGTTGGACATTTATCATATTCAGTCCATGCGTTGGACTTTGGTTATTTTCAGTCCATGCGTTGGACACTCGTTACTTTCAGCCCATGTGGGCAATTATGATGTGTAGTCCATGTGTTAGACATTTATCATATTCAGTCCATGCGTTGGACATTGGTTATTTTCAGTCCATGCGTTGGACACTCGTTACTTTCAGCCCATGTGTTGAACGTTTACCTCATGCAGTCCATGTGTTGGACATTTAATCTATATAGTCTATGTGTTGGACACTTAATCGTTTTCGGACATGACATTCATGTGAGTTCGACATGACACTGTGTTTGGAAGTAGAGATGGGTTTTGTATTCTTTTAATTTATTTGTTCCTATATTAGATTCCGGGTTTTGGTATTTAGAGATTTACAATTTGAGATACAGGGTATATACATGAGGGTTTCCTTGTTTGGATTATTTCGCTCGACATACCTATGCTCGTGTTGTAATTTTCTAAATACTAAAATCCTCTTATACATAGGTATTTACAATTTGAGCTACATGGTATATACATGAGGGTTTACTTGTTTGGATTATTTCGCTCGACGTACTTATACTCATGTTGTAATTACCTAAATAGGATCAGTGATTTTATATTTATATTATAATTGTATTTTCTGTATACAACGAGCCCTTTTCCTTGGGGTTGGTTGTGATGTTGCTCGCAAGCGCTTTGACGCTCGCTGTCCCTCCCCCTTTCAGGTAACAAGCCAGGAGCCCGGAGAGTCGTAGGTTGATGGCGACGCACTTTAGCTTCAGCCGTTTATTATAGTTATATTTTTCTTTTGAACTCCACTGTAGACTTTTGTTAGACATTTGAGAGTTTATTCTAGAAGTTGTAAAGGTTGTGTGCCTTATCTTCTTTTATTCAGACATTTGTATTTGAGACTGGTTGAGAAGTTCTAGTTTATTCATTTCAGACATTGACTTGTATTTCAGTATGTTAGATGATGAAATATTAATTTGGTCTCTATTATTTCATCAGTTGACTCTTGTATTATCTTTTACTTGCTTTTGTACCTACACCTGTTATTGACGTTGACTCTTGTATTATCTTTTACTTGCTTTTGTACCTACACCTGTTATTGACTCTACTAGAGAGATAGTAATTGTACCTACACCTGTTATTGACTCTACTAGAGAGATAGTAATTGTGATGGTGAAACATGTTATTGCACGATGTAGTGCATGGCAGGTTTGATATTCTTGGTTTCACCCTAGACTACAGCCTTGTGTGAACCCAGGGGCATCACAGAATTCTAGCCGAGCCAAATATGTCCTAAATAAACAAGTGAACCGTTGTTTCGTTATTATGATTCACTCAACTCAGCTAACTTATTTTTTCCTGTCATGTTTGACTTGGTATTTAATTATGACATGTTAAAAAATTATTGGTAGTCGGATCTTTGCTTTTGTGTTTTAATTGCTCTATTAAATTCTAATTTCAAAATACCAATAAAATGAGTCTTAAATCTTATTTAACTAAAAAATATAACTCTTTCAAAACTTTTCCTTAAATTTGTACGTAGAAAAATGTAAACTAACTCCTCACAAATGTAAACTCATTCTAATAGTTTGCATGATACACAATTCAGACGGATTTCAAGCCTTTGTTATTCTATGCCGTATGGATTTAAACGTAAACAATAGATAATGAACATATTTTAATTTTAAAATTTAAAATCATTTATATAGGTTCTAAGAAAATATTCAAGTAGATTGTAAAACTAAGTATATGTTAGTTAATTAGGCACCGAGTACGATTGTTGATAAGGAGATCCCTTTTAAAATCTTTGCCTTCTCACATACTACAGTATTGTTATAATTCTATTTAACATATTTAGAACAAAAGGTGCAAACGAGTGAAGATTATATTAGAACATCTCATAGATTAGGATCATTAGCATATCCAAGGTTGCTAGAATGTAGTGTGACTATATAATTGATAATAAAATTATAATTGTCCCCAATAAATTTTTATGTTTCCAAAAGATATATATACTATAAAATAAGTAATTGCACTTTAGGGGTTGTTTGGTTCGATTCCTAGATATAGGCATGTAAAGAAACTCAAGTTTTGAGTTTTCCAA